GTGCTCACCGTGCAAGATTTGGGATGGCAGCAACTGGATTTTGCTCAGTGTGCCATGTGGGAGACACAATAGATCATTTCATATTAAGCTGTACTAAGTTCACTGGCCCAAGAGCACTATTCATGAGTGCGGTGACTGCACTGGGACTTCCTTGGGGTCTGCAAGCTGCCCTGGGTGCGGGTGTCACCAGCAAGCAGCGTCATCAAATTTTCTCATACCTGCGGCACTACTTGCAGCAATGTGGAGTGGTTGCTCAGATGTAACTTGTAATCAATAATTGAATAGGCCCTCACTATTGCCTGATCCCTAATATTGAGTCAAACCTAGTTTGTTTTATTTATTTAGTATTATTATTATTTTTATTTTATTTTATTTTTTTTTCCACTGACTCCAATCTTGCATGTCTACATATCTTCTATTGGTTGGTCTAGTTTTGCATGCAGCACCATGATGTCATGATGCTACTCTACGTCGCTGCAAAGAGGCATGTTGCACCATCTTGCATGCTCCATTTTATTATTTTTTTTTATTTATACTTATTATTATTATTATTTTTTTTTTCTTCTACATTCTGAAGCATGTGACAAGTGTCCGGTACTAGTTGATGACACTTCCCTGCCTGGAGTGCTCTGGCTTGTGGCTGGGCCCAAGCTTTCTCCTGTTGCCCCCAACTAATGACTGAGATCAGGCTGGGCAGTGCATTAGCACTCGAAGCCTTCAAATCCAAATCATCATAACGTGTTTCTCGCGCCGTTAGATTCATCGCGCTGCGTTGGTTCTAGTGGTGGCTGGGTTATGTCGGATAACTACGTATATTAGTTTTGACAGCGCTCAGGTTGAAAGTAATTTGTCCCGTCAAGGTTTCAACTATTGAACTAACATGAGATTGGTTAGCAAATGGGATCGAATTTCGTGATTGGTGAGTTGTATGTGTAATGTGTGGAGTGCTGAACTTGCTGAAGCTGAAGCCAGTCTGTGTCAGTTGTTACGGACTCAGTCAGACATGTCACCTGCTGACCTGCTGAACCTGAATGTCAGTGTCAACAAATATCGCCTTATATCGGTTATTTTGTCATAGCAATTTCACCATTCGTTCAGAGTTTTTAGAAGACAGACTTCTCCTTTTCTCCTTAAAAACTTAGAATTACATGTACTTGGTGAATGGCATGATGGTGATGATTTGATGGTGAAACCTTTTACTGTCACTCGCAGGCTGACAAACCACAGATTTTTAGAATCAGTTCATTTTTAATTTCCTCATTTACTTGAAATTTAAATCAATTTATTATGTATGATAATGCTGATATCCATGAAATGATCCTTAAATACTTTACCAGTCTACTCATAGTGGCAAAGCAGAGAGTTTTTTAGACTCTCCCTCAAGTTCATTTTTGAGTCCTATAAGTAGACCAGTAAAGTATCATGCATAGTGGCAAAGCAGAGAGTTTTTTAGACTCTCCCTCAAGTTCATTTTTGAGTCCTATAAGTAGACCAGTAAAGTATCCACTATGCAGAGGGTGGATGCAGCGTCGCCAATATATGGATTTTTAAGCCCAAAGCGTCGCCGGCCATTTTAAAGTTGCGTCGCCGGGTAATTTTTAATGAAAAGCCATTTATGCTGAGTAATGACGAACTATTTACAAGCCACGAACTTAGTTACAAGGTTGCATGCACATGTTACCCCAAATAACTAATTTTACCCTAAAAACAGTCCGATTGTACAGCAAGTGTCAACTGAACATGTAATAAAGCAGTCTGACCGTTCTAATGTGACCGAAACTACGCAATCAAAAAAACGTTGTTTACATTTTTTGCGCGAACTCATCACAACTGATTTCCGGACAAGCTTCGCTGCATCGTATTCCATCCAACGCACCGGAAACCTTACTTTTTTTCTAAATAGTTGGCCGAAGACTGAGAAATATATTAAATGCAAGAATTTCAATCTAAATGTGTCGGCATGATCTTCTGAAGGCGAAAATTTGGCTACTGAAGCATCGCCAAAGATCTTGCAATATTCATCCACTCTCTGCAGTCTGCACAGTGGTAAAGTATCATGGATACCAGCATTGTCTTACATAAGAAATTGGTTTAAGTGATCTACTTATACTATGTCTTATAATTATTAATTAATAGGACTCAGAATGAACTGGAGGAGGGAAGGGAGAGTGTTAAAAACTCTCTGCTTCTGAAGTTCTGCTATGCCAGGCACTAGCCACTAGGCACTAATCTCTATCATGACTACCGTCTACCGTATGGCATATGTTACGGTAGTTGGTATGTACGTAATGTGACTATGTTTAAGCATTTGACGATTTGTGTTCTCAATAGGACAACCCAGTGCACAGTCATTGTTATATAGCTAGTGTCTTTTGATTAATTATAGCCACTCAGTCATGGGTAATTTATATCATCATTCAAACTTGTGTTGACTACATCACTGTTATCTTGGAAGATTACTTACAAATAAAAACAACATTCTGCCAAAACAGACAGTGATGTGCTCTGAAAAACTACCATTGCAAATTATTTTGACCTCACACCTCAGTGACACATATTTTAATAAGGTTCAGATTATTTGCACTTTTAACGTATAAATGACTCATGACTGTCTGATAACGTATAGCATGGCAAACTCCTTGCACTACCGGTACTTGATCATTTGTTACAAATTGTTAGTGATGATGATTTGTACTTGCAAGTTTTAGACAATATAAAAAATTTAAAAATACTCAAAAAAAACAAGTAGTAGAATTGAAATTTACTGGCAAATAACTGAACTTCACAGGAAAGCAAGCACAATTCAATGGATTAACATGTAAAAGGTCAGATGAGTAATTATAGATAAATAAAAAAATATAAACTTATATAAATACTTACTTTATAATGAATGACAGATGAACCTATGATATATTTGTGAGAGTTGATCTGTATGTATTAGATTTGATATGAAGGTACTTGCAAGTACATAATTATCTTATTGTATCATATGGAATATTGAATTTTATGGATGAGATATGTTGAAAGCAATATTTCATGATAATATTGAACTCAAGGAAAGTGAGCTTTGCACAATGCTTTCTATCTTGACTAATAGGAACTGCAACCAGCAATCTTCTTGTAAATCAAGAGTTTATAGTCCAAGACTAAAAACAACCCATGGCAATAGTTGTTAGAAAAAACTTATCCATTAAAAACTTATCTATTCATTACTAGGCCTCTAACTTATTCTACGGACATTTCAGATCTTTTATAAGGCACTGAAATTAACAAAAGTGACCATAAGATATTTAATTCACAGCAAAGTATATTTTGGGTTTTTAAATAGGCTTTCTGGAGCATAATTGTTATTTACAGTCTTTTGTAATGCAATCATTTATTTACAGCCATGGATCTGTTTTGTTGAAGAATCTTGTCATCCCTTTGCTGTCATTGTTTGAAATTGGACATATGATGCCACCATGAGCAGTAAATTTGAGAAGGTAATCTAATGCTTTTTCAACTTATGTTCTGTTGATTTTTATCTTAGATTGATAGATTATTTCTTGATTGAATATAATGTGCATCATTATGGTATATCATTTATTTTTGAAGGTTTCACAAATTGACTTCTTTTTGGATACCAATTTTAAATTATTCATTATTTTTAGAATGAGCCATATATATATGCTACTGCTTTTAAAGAAGTATTTCAAAACTAGAAGGGAAATTCTAGATTCCAAATAAGATGTTCACTTTAAGTATGAAAGACCTAAGGAAATTGAATTAATTGAGAGACGTATGGTTAGAAATGATACACTAGTACTTATGGTTAGAAATGACTAATTTCTTGTCAAGGATCTCAAAAAACTACCTAAAATATATGAGGTATTATCAATGAGGTGTATCACTAATTCTACCAGTATATAAGCAAACCTGTACTCTGCACAGATTTGTTGCTTAACACAGGATACGTCTTACAAAACTCTTTGTTTTTGAGCTTTTTACAACACTTCTCTTTAACTTCACTTCTTGTTGTTTGTTTGTTTGTTACAAATCTTATAATCAATACCGGTATTTAACACACTTCTACCTCTCCAATCGATCTGAAATTTTGCACTCTAGTGTATAGTTGGAGACAATGCATGAATCAATTGAAAGAATGAATAATTTTGAAGATTTAGAAAATTATATTTTTTAATATTGAAAAAATTGAAAAAATAATTTTGTCTGCTACATATCTTATAATTGATATTTAACTCTGATCTGAACCTGTCCAATCGATCTGAAATTTTGGACACTTCCGTAAAGTCAAAGACAATGCATGAATCAATTGACAGAATAAATAATTTTGAAAAATTTAAATTTATTTTAAATTTAAAAAATAAAATTTAAATTTTTTTTTATATATTCGATAATAAAATTAGAAATTCATTGTACATGTGTAACATTGGAGACACTGGATTCTTCGGAAGTGTTGTCTTTAAAAAGTAATTTTTAAATGCATATTTTTTATTCTCATGTGAATGGTAAAAAAACAAAAGAGGTTATCAATCTTGTGAACTGCAATTGTATTTTTAAATATAATCAGTATATATATATATGATCAAAGAATTCCACAATTCACCTACAAAAACTATTATATCATGGTAATAACCTATTATAGTCAAATGGGGTAAGACAGGATCACAGGCTTCATGGGGTAAGAAAGGACCAGCCCATGGCATGCATTCTAATTTCACTGAATTTAATTTGTTAAAAGAATAGGTTAGAGCTATCATTGCCTGTCATTTCAGTGTTAGTTTCAACCCTCTTCGGCAAATATTGAATTTCTGGCTATTTTTTAAAGACAACCTATCTAAAGAAGGGTCACAAAATAGTTAACCCTGTTTGGGAAATAAGCTCTGTCTAATGACAAAAAAATTTTTGGCCAAGTTTGTGGATGTAGGCAGGTAACCTTAAGTAATAGGCAACTTTTGAGATATACTAGGCATTCCTACCTGCTACCATCATTGCCTGACATCTATTCTAAAATGGGGTAAAAAAGGACCAGTCATGGGGTAAGACGGGACCACTAAATGATCCTGTTTTACCCCACAAGTGGTCCTATCTTACCCCACAAATGGTCCTGTCTTACCCCACAAATGGTCCTCTATTACCCTACAGTTTATCAAAAATAGTTTTTAAATGAATATATTATAGTGTAGTACATGGAGTATTTTGGTCAAAATTTTTATCTTTTGCTCAAACTTCATTATAATTTGTTAGCTTTATTAATTAAAGAAATTTAGTGCACTATTTTAAATTGCATCAAAGGGATACAGAAAATAGGGATGTCTCTTCCCATTAGTGAGCTGCAGAACTAGTATGTGCAAGATTGGCAGGGGAAAATCATTGTGTGAAACATGAAAAATAATTATGATCACAACTCTGAGAGAGGGCATGAGCTATGTTTGAAGAACCACAAATGCAGTTAGCAAGAAAACACATGACGTCTGACACTTATGTTATTATCCATTGGTTTTATTACCAATTTGATAAATTTTCAGACAATGACACTAATGAAATATACATGAAGCATTTAGCAGTTCTCTACAATGAACCAAAGCCAACCCACTTTTACTATGCTTAACAAAGTTTTCTCATTACAAAAACTGCAATGTGACTGATATTAGAGTTGACTTCCCACTACACAAAACAGTAACAAGTGGTTGTTTAATCAAATAATGTGTTTCTAGATTGATAATATTGAATATCAGATTTGTACTGTTATTAAAAACCTTGTAACATAAGAATTGCCAGTTGGTCCTGTCTTACCCCATGCCTGGTCCCATCTTACCCCAGTGGGGTAAGATGGGACCAGCTCTCTTTTTTTAATCTGTACAGAAAACTATGTTAGATGCAAAACGTCTGAGATGTAGCTTAGAAGCCCATTGCATATATACACCTTGTGATAGGTTTAGGGTTTTTAGTTATTCTTGGTATAGATGCTACAGGCTTGTTAGTGATTTTGGTCCTGTCTTACCCCATCTGACTATAATTAACTTCTTCCACTAAATTTTTTATATTGCTCTTACCTTTAATTATTACTTATCTTGACATTGATTCACAGTTATGGATCTCTTATCCAGCAATTTTGTTCCAGCACCCAAAAAGATTTAGAAATTCACTATCACTGAATTTAATGGCAGAGATCTCCTGGTGCTGACAACTTAAAACTGCTTATAGCTTGTGCACTTTACACTAACAATCTTGGATCAATACAACATCATATCCATTTAACTTTCTTAGATATAGAATCCACAGTATCTTAATATTTTTCTAGATAAATAAAGTTTTCCTTTTCGGATTTTCGCACTGCATATCAAATGTATTGAAATTAACTTTTCAAAAGTATCAAAAATCTAAGTATCAAAATTAACTTTTTCATTTGCAAATTTTAAGTCACAATCAGAATGTTCTGGTGAATTATACCAATTAAAAATAATCTCTTGTTTATGGTGAATTTTTCTTCTTCACAATGCTTCTCTATGTAAGTGTAATTTTTTATCCATTATGTGCAGCTCAACAAATACGTCGGCGAGTTGAAATGCATCAAGCAGCAATTGATCAACACTCCTATGTTGGATAAACTTTTGGATGCTGAGATTCTTTCACGCGAGAAGATTATGAGGAACTTTGCATTAGAAAATAAGAGGCATGAGGTGAGTATTTTAATATACATTTATGTGTTATTTCTTATTTATTAATGAAATTCTATACTTTCTTTATGATTGAAGGCTTTTTCTTGCATAAGTGTCAATGTAATTTGAATAATTATTGAGATTTAGGGTCTTCTGGTTTTGAAATAATTTCCTCAGTGGCTGGCAATGTCTTGATAGACTTGCACCTGTGAATGGTATGCTAGTTTGAGCACCTGGACAGTGAACAGACAAGACTGATTTGATTTTACATTTGGATTGCAAGTCAAGCTGTTGAACGAGGGTAGGTAATCACATGTAATAAATGTCAATCAAGCATTCTCAGTCCAAATGATAATTTTTCTGCTAATATGTTATATCTGTATGTTGACTTCAACTTTTTTATATTATTTATTTATTAATCTTATAATAAATAATTTTTTTATTTATAGTCTGAGTGTTGCATGGTCTGTTCTGCAACATCCAGTCATTTGTCTCTTTAACTTCTCACAGTTGTTGAAGAGCATTGCTAAGGTGCAGGAGATCTTGACAGAAACCAGTCAGCAGTCATTCAGACAGCATCTTGAAAAGCAAATGGCATCCCTTCAGGAGGAAGTTGATCTTATTCAAATTGGGTCCCCTGGAGTGGAACTCCCTGCTGATGAATTCAAGAAGAGGCTTATTGAATGTGAAGAGACGATAGCCATCACCATCTACAAACTTGAGGTATTTCATTACTACTGTTTGAATCATTCAAGATTTACATATGAATCATTCAAGATTTATATAAAAAAATACATTATTAATCTTCATACAGAGGCGGCGATCCATCGTGGCCTGGGACTGCTATGTCCCAAACAAATACTAAGGATACTAAGGAACAATTTATAAATTCATGAAAGGGTCTCACTTCTTACCAATTTCTAGTTTCTCAAAAAGTGTAACTATCACTATCAACAATGAGAGAATGCTTACTGTAATTCAGGCACAAGTTCTCCACAAAAGAATGAGAAAAGAAGCATTCTTTGTTTGAAAGTGATGTTCAATGTTCTTTGTTTTCATCCATTCTTGAATATATCTATTGTAATGAATAATGTGTAAAAGTTTGCATCAATTGAAGCTTGAAGGTTTGCGTAAAATGTAATTTTATTTACAACTGAGGTTGTATTCATGGTCTTATCATGTAATTCTCATGATCCTCCTCCACCACATAACAGATTTGCTTAAATGTCATTGCTTTGTAGCAAATTTACTCTTTTCAGCAAAATATAAAATTATTATTTTATTTTTATTATTATTATTATTTCGAACTTCGAATTTGGGCTGATATTTTTTGCAATAGACCATATAGTTTCTGAAATTTGAACCAGATTAAGAGTGGAATTCCATTTTTTTTTGTGTGTATATCATGCATTTGATGAGTTCTCACATGTACGGTAATGCACTGATAACGGCTAGTAATTCATTTGACAAGCCTTTGAAATTTGCAAATATGCAAGGATTGGTCAATGAATGAAGGAAGCCAGTTTATATATGTGTGATTAAATGCAAAGTGAGCACAATAGCATTCACTACATCCTTTTTCTTCTTAGCAATACTACGTAGGTACATGTTAGTTAAGATCTTAGCTTAAGTAAGATATTAACAATAAAGTGAAAATATTCAACTCTGACTTGATATACAACTGAAAAAATTCATATTTATTCTCAAATTTGTCTATTAATGTACCTACCCCATTCAAGAGCTAGTTGACTCGTATTGATATTTGTGTATATTTGTGATATGACTCAGCTGGTGGGTGCACGCTGGTTCTTCTACCTATGTGCTAGTAGCTGGCAGTGCATAAGATGCTAAGATGCTCTCTTTGAAAATTATCTTGATGCAGGTTTTTTGATAGTTTTTTTCAAAATATGGACTCTTGAGCACTGGCACTGCTAGCTTCTAACACAAACATGAATGGGTTTGCAATGTTTGCGTAATTTTTGGGTTCCAAGCATCTATCTTACAATATCTGACAACTTGTGAGCTTTATTAGTTGCCGCCTGAAATTGTTTAATCAGAAATGAAGTCAAATGTGGATGGAATTGCTCAACACTTTCCAATATCTGAATTTTGACAAAGTAAAAAAAATTTTGTGCTACAGTTTAACCTGATTTATAATAGTATTTCAGTACTAGTAAAGCACCCAGAACCATATAGTCATATACAGATGCCATCACCTTTGGAAACCCAGATGCTATCCAGGCACAAACATTATTTTAGTCGTTAAAGCTCAAGACTACCTTACTGTACAGGCCCAAGTGATATGTAAAAAGCTAGTTATTTCAGATCTTAGTATATAGCATCATATTTGGTTTTATGAATCTTTTAGTGAAAGGTTCACCTCTTGAAGGATTTAGATTCTTTTTGGGAGAGGTTCAAGAACTCAAATCTTTTGATAGTATTTTTACTAATTGATTCAAACTGAGTTCTCTTCATTTAAATTATATTAATTTTAGGGGTTTAAAACTTATATATGTAGCTTAAAAAAAATACCTAATTTGTTTGGACAAATATTTGGTAAAATTATTGCTAAAAAGTTAATTTTTTAACATATATCAGATGAATAAAAGAACTGTTTGTGGACAGAAACATAACCACATTCATTCATGTATCTAAATTCATTTATGTATCTTGTTGTTATTGCCTTTTTTCTAGAGTCAAGCCGCTGCAGGGAATATTCATTCCCAAACTGACAACGACTCAACAAGATCCTGAGGCTGTCAAAGAAAAGCTTGCTGCAGCTGATTTTGATCTAGATACAAGAAATCTTGCTCCAGAAGTTACCAGCCTTGATCCTGTGTCTGCCACAAATTAGGAAGCAGCTGAATCAGAAGCAGAGCAAAAATCCCTCATGATTGCTCAAACTCCTCGAATAATGCACTTTATGGTTAGTGTTTTTATCTCGATTCATCAGAAACCCAATACTCAATTGACAGACCCTGGTAACTTTTTTGTAGCTTTGTTGTAACTGAATGACATATTTGTGGTGGGGTTTTAATGTTCGTCCTGCTTTATTTATGATGGATGCTTATGATTTGACAAGAACCTACAACAGATAGTAATGATGAAGGAATAACTGGTTCAAGGAATTCATGGGGATGAGACAATCACTTTGAAATTTCAGAGAAGCAGAGACAAGTTTTATTCTGGCTTATATGCCTTGATCAGCGTGCCATAGTTTTACAATGGCAGTCAAATATATACCATATAAGTCATTTACTGGGCTTTTCGACAGTAAGATTTATCCATTTGGAACAAATTTAAGCTTAGAGCATATTTTGTTTACTTTTCTATGGTTAAAGTTGATATATTTAATAAGCATGCATGATCAATTCACCTGTTGGAAATAAAGTTTATTTACTGACATTATATGAGGAGTATTTTGTTTTAGCTTACTTCCAGTTTATCTTGAAGATATATTTGTACATTGTTGCTGTGATCATAGAACAGGTATATATGGTAGAACTGGTATTTGCTTGATAGACTAAAATTTCTGCTACTAAACTTATTTTGCAAAATAAATAGCTTCAGCTGCAACTAGTGAGAGAATAATCCAGTTTGTTTAAGCTAGCATGAAACTGATGTGCAGACACATAAAGATAAAGACTAAGAAGGAACGTGATAAATTCAGGCACTTGTACAACGTATTGTAATGTGGCCTGCACAGAGAAGAGATCTTCTATGAACTTACAAACGTAAATAAGACAGCTGACAGAAATATCTAGTTTTTGTGCAAGGCCCAAGTGAACAACTCCCTATGTAAATGTGGAAATCTAAAACTCATTATGATTAGGAAGGAACTTTTAGTATTTTGGATGCTAAAAAGATGCTCTCATGATCCTGCTTTGACGTAAGAGCATTGCTTTCCATGCTAAATTTTCAAGTGTAATTGAAAAATAATAATATTTCTTACATTTTTTTCTGTCTCTCTTGACGCTAAGCTATTGTTTTTATTTTCAATATTTATTTGTTTGTGTATGCCTTGCAGCTATAATGCCTATATTTATTATATAATGTACTGACTTAGTTAATTTTTATTTTTCTCCTTACTTTGGGTCTTGTTATGGCTTGCTCTCGCAGCTTGACTATCTAAAGAAATAGTTTCAACTGTGCCAAAAGACAGACGTACAAAAAAAGATGATGATCATAATAAATACTCTGAACAAACTGTTCACTTTCTGTAGGAAAGATTCATACATATTTCTCACAACAAAATTTTTAAACATGTAATGGTTTCAATGATTATGGTGGACCATTCCTATACTCTAGCATCTCTTTATTTAGACTCAATAATATATGAAAAAAGTTAATGTTCCAAATTTATTGCCTTTGAACTTCAATTTCTTCCTGCCATATTTGAACTTTCAAATCTCTCCCTAACAAATTTTTGCTACTCATTTTTTGTCCTAACAAGTGATGTCTATCGTTAAGTGTGTGAAAATTCTTGTTCTATCTTTTATTATGGTGATTATTATCTTATATGCTCATAACCTTATGAATATTATGTCCAGATAATATTTATTTACCTTTGAATATTTGATTTGGGTCGATGTAAGCCCAAATTGACTTGAAAGAATGACAAAATACCCAAATTCAATGGAGATAAGTTAGTTTAAAAAGAAAATTTTAAATTTGCATTATGTTTCATATCACTTTTTCGAATGTTAGTGGTCAATATATATTGTACCTATATATCTGTTCATACCTCTGTTATCATCCATGAATAGCGAAAACATGATCTTTTTTTTTTGAAGACATGAATGTTTATATAAATTTCTTGACATACTGTAGATACGGTACCTTTTAGCATTAAGGTGATGAAGATTGAAAAAATTCTTTTTTGATCAGTGTTTCATTCCCCATTTTATTATAACACTTCTCTTGAACTTCACTTCTTGTTGTTTGTTTGTCTGCTACAAATCTTATAATCGACATTTAACACGCTTCTACCTGTCCAATCAATCTGAAATTTTGCATACGTACTTGCATTAAATCTGAAACAGTGCTTGAATCAATTGGCAGAATAAATAATTAAAAAAAAATTTCTATTAAAAAAAATAAATTTTCTATAATATTAAGAGATAAAATAAGAAATTCATCTTACATGTGTAACATCAGAGACACTGGCCTCTTTAGAAGTGTTGTCTTTAAAAAGTAATTTTTAAATGCACATCATTACAATTGAATTCAATTCAAGTTAATTAATGATTATAAATGAATGATATATTAAATGTTCTTGCAATGTTCCCTCAATATTGACATATCATGTATGTCATACACTACCTCAATAACTATTAGTTCAATAATTAAGCTTTCCTTAGATGTGCTACGGATCAAGTTTACCAGGTGTGTATTCCTTAAGAATTTTAAACTACTATTTAAGAACTGTTCATCATAAATAATCTTAATTAGAATGATTCACCCTATTAGTCTATTACTGAGTTTAAGCAGACAACAATATTAATCTATGAATGCTATTGAGTGTGTAATATCTTATGTTAGAATAATAATGATAAATATAGAACATGGTGATGAAAATGGGAGCCAAGGCTACATGTCCTATCATAGAAATGTCACAATTTATTCTGAACAAAGCTTTGTCAAGCGATCATGTTTTCAGGTGCAGTGATAGTTCTGCCATTGGACGGCACACATTTCAACTGATGAACAAACACAAGCTTCTGTGTAAACTTCATTTGAAAATTTTTCTTTCCCTCAATAGATTAGGATCAGAACAACAAGTTTAAGCTGTACATTGATGTGCAGGGTGTGAATGACACCAACAGTACCCGCGCACAGCTTACCTTTGAGAAGCGACTTGTGAGCCTCCCTGTGCCTGGGGCCATATTTTCAAAACTCGCTATGTGAACGTAAGTACTTACGCTCTATTTTCTTGTCTATGATTGGTGGGTTTTGCTCAAAGAGCGTCAATGATTGGCTGATGAACTTACGATCTCTTAACTTTTTTTGATTGGAAGTATAGGCCCTGGTGTCAAAGGCCAGTACTTCAACTTCACTCTTCAGTACCTGAGCGATGCCATCAACCCAGAGCGAGATTAGTTTTAGAAAAGGTATCCATGTTCTGTATAATATTAGGTTGCTTTGTTACTGTGAAAATATTTTCGCCCATTAAAGATCACATGGCTTTCCGTATTCCAGACGCCTAGATGATCTTAGTGCAATATTTCTCTTCACAAATTATCAATATGAATTTGTGATAGTATTTTTGGGTTGCATTGGCTGTGCTTGACGATTTGGGACTTTGATTTTACTCAGTTTTTAGGTTTTTTAGCACTCCTTACATGCATCACAGTCCTTTGAAATTGTGTGAATACTGGGAGACAGGAGTTACTCTTAAGATTTGATGATGTTGCTGAATCCTGAAATGTAGTTGTTTAAATATTGAACTCGATTCTTAACAGTTATAAGATTTCACGTAGTAGAAGTGATAAATTTGTAAAAATAGAATGCATTTTCTATTCTCCAAGTACCCGCTGGCGAACATTTATCAGAATACCTCGCCAATATTCACTGCCTGCAGCCGTGCCATGTAAGAGTGTAAAAGCAACTTCTCTCTTCCTTGACTTTTTCAAATCCATTGCAGAATATTCTGATCTTTATTGCAGTCATATTTTAGAACTTAATTTAAGTGAAATTATTAAAATTAGTGACCTAAATTAGAGTTCTGCACATGTGTGCCAAATTGAAGTAACCAACAAATTTCAAAGCGCTATATGCTCTCGTTCAGAGGGAAAAACTCGTTTAAGATCAAACCCACGATCCAGATTTATTTCACTCAATACTGTTAAATTTTTTTAGCAGCTGGTCCTTCGAATAAAACTGATATGACACACGATTCCGGATTCTACGCCATTTGCACCGTGGATCTCATTGACTGGATGTTTGAAAACTTTGGGGTCCATCCTCTTGAAGTTGTTATGGTTAATTTACGTTCTCTCATCTCGACTCCATTGACGGCGTTCAAGGAAGCTATCAAAGTCTTGGCTAATCACGATTGTTACATCAGCTTGATTAATGCGGAGTATTATTATTCAACTGAACTTCAAAGCGACGACTCCCTCGTTAAGCTACTCGATGGAAAACCGCGAGTTTTCCAATTTTTTTTTTTAGTTAAATGCTCTAGTTGTAACTGCAGTGACTGCTAACCTCTTCAAATTCTGAAACGTCTCGGCACAGTTTTATCGCCGCCCTCGTGTGCACGTTAACATACCGCTGATGACAGGACGTATCTCGTGTATGATACCTGGCTGTCGATTGGTGTTATTTTTCGTAATTTTTTTCATAATACCGGTATTGATACTTCTGCGTTTTCAGTGCATTTAATTGATCGTTGAAATCCGTAGCTGGCTGGCTCGTGACGGTCAATATAAGAGGCGTTTAGGGATAGGTTTTCTATGTATTGATCACACAACTAGAGTAGATGAAGGTCAAACTGAAACACTATCACATTTACAATCTAAAATGAAGGCACATCGTAACGCGAACGAAATCATTGTTTTAAAAGACATGGATTCGTAAAAAATTTACACTTTGACATTAATCCTTCAGAACATCACGCCCGTTTCTTGTATAATGAGTTTAATCTGTCACTTCACTATTACATGATTCTAATCCCTATTTAAATTTCCTGCTTTACTGAAAAACGTTGATCAGCATTGCGATCCCGAGAATAAATCCTTGGTGGTGCAGTTGTTATACCTACTGCAACATTAGTATCGATCACGAACGTGATCGGATCTTTAACAGCAGTTAAAATGCATATCAACTGTCATTTAATCAATCATGTGATTTACTGTAAAGGATGCCGTTGCATCTCTGCTGCAAGTAAATCAATACACGGGTTTGGATAACTCAAAGCAGATTACTTGGACCTAATTGAACAGCTCAAAGTTCCAAAATCAAGGTAGACGACGCCGTTACTCAATGCGTGCTACGCAGGCACATTTTGCCGACGAGAAGAGATTCAAGAGATTAAGCACCAACAATTTTACAAGAAACGAATAATTATAAAATTCAATATATAAATATTAGTGTACGATGGTGCCGTTTCGTCAAACTTGAAGTAGCCTATGTTTGAGGCGGTCAGTGCTTGCAGTAAGCGCAAGGTGCCAGCCGCCTTGAAGGCAGAAGCCTTGCTGGCACAGGAGAATGAATAGTGGATGTCTAATGTGACTCCTACGATTTTAGGAGTTTGGCTAAGGAGGATTATCGAAAACAGGCAGTAATTTTTTAATTATATCCTGCACACAAAATATTGAGTAGAAGTTGATAATTAGTTAGCATGGTTCGATGATGTGGCTTAACCGCTTTAAAAGTGCCATGTTTTGTATCATAAAATTCGACTTTCATATTTTTGTTTAAATTGTTTCGAAATATAACCTTTATACTATGGTCACTGTTAGAACTATTCATTTTCACTAGTTTGCCTGCGGTAGCCATGATGGAAACATTGACTTGAATTCATTCGTGTCTTTAACATCTCACGGCGTTTCTTACTGGACAAATATTGTTTGCTACTTGCAGACCATCAGGAGACGGCTGCACCTCATGGCATGTCGTTTCACACTCTCTGGTCATCGTCGTCTGGGTCGGCATCTGCCTGCTGATTTCTTGGTGATTACAATCGAGGACAACTCCCTCGATGACTCCATCCCTGCATGTATTAGTGACTGCTACAAGCCCTGATAGCATCGTAGACGCTCCGAGTATGAACGCCTTCAAGAACAGACTAGACGAAGCTATGCAGGAGCATATGTTCAGTCTTAAAATGCCTAGCAAATTACGGACCAGGCAATAAGTCCAGCAGCTATCTCAATCAATCGTCAGTTATGGAAAGATCGGGTTCCAAAGGCCGGATCACTTGTAAATCAGGTCACGAAAAATTCAAGAATCGGCAACAGGCCAT